TTCATCCTGTAATATGAAGTTCCCTTTAATTGACTCTATGATTCCTCATATTCTTCCATCTCTTCGCCAGATGATCGTCTCCATGTCACGTTTGGACATACATCCAACTGGTCGTTTCCTGTCTGGGTTCCAGTTCAAGGGCCTGCATTGCACGTGATGTCACTCAGTGTCTTCAGTGTATCTGATGGGTGATAGGTTCTTGCTCTTTAGTTCGCCACCAGAGTCCCTTAGTGCTAATTCTTCTTGGCCATCTAATCTCTGGTATTCAGGCAGCGGAGGCAGGTGTTTATGAGGGTCTACCTGTTGGAAATGATTTTCTTGACGCATAATACAAGCTTCTTAACCACACAAAAGGAGTCAATAACTTAATATTAGTGCTGAAAACGCAAAACTGTGTATACAGGGAAGTCTCCCATATGCTTCACTTGGTGTAACACGTGTCCCTCTGGGTGCTGTCATCTCTCTCTCGTCTTCTGTTTTCTTTCTTCTTATGTAGCTTGATTCATTCTGATAAGGCCGACTTTCTCAAGTGTGCAGATGATCTAACTGTTTCCATGTCAGCCACACCTCAATCACATCGTTCCAAAAACGAATAGCTTCTTATCACAAATTAGTCAATTATCCTTGTCAAATGATATTAAGCTAAATCCCTTCAAATATCAGATAGGCAATGTCACTTCCAGACACAAACGTGATTTACACGAACCTGTTTGCTCCCATGATTCTTACATTTTAGAAAGAAATGAGACTGAAACGAAGTGGAATGTGTCTTTCCTCTGATCGTTCCGGGACTTCCGTCATCATCTTCCATCTAATCTTCTACGCGTGGGAATCAAAACATTCTGGTGTCACTCTAATAGCTTGTATGTTCCTGTATTTTACCTATTCTTCTCCTGGATTACTTAAGACAGACCTTTTTCACATTGCGATGGTTACTGAGGGGTGTTAGTAGGTCGAGTGGGGTACCGCTAAACCAACTCGTTATTCTGGTTGTAGACAGACAATGGAACTCATACAAGGAATTGGTGACTGTTATCCTAGCAGATTCTGAGCATCCTTTTACACACAACTCTTGCATTGTATCACATCATCGAGGAGATTTCTACACTGATTTGAGAGTATTAAAGATCTATCTCACCTTTCCAATCTTATCTTAGCTAGCTTTGACGTGTTTGCTGATTGTAGTTCTCAGCTATGTAGTAGACAGCATACTGTAGATTGTAAAGTACGATAAGATTTAGACGATTTAAGGAAATTTGAAAAAGAAAAAAGACCAACAATTGTGGGAAAATTCAGTTTTTATTAACACTTTACTTTGTTACATACTTACTTCATAATTTTAGGTTTTTTGAAACAACCAATAACCTAATTCTTAAATAGACAAAAAAACTAATAAAAAAAGCTGCAACTACTACTAGTAATACTTATACTACTAATAGTAATACGAAAGGGAAATCAGTTGTCCATTAGTTAGCTGTTCTACTAATCTGATGGACAGAATCATCAAATTAGAGGAGAAAAAAACCTCAACTAACTACGGGATGACTGACACATTGAAACCGCTAACTACTTTGCCGTACTATATATATTATACACTACCAATTATATATATACAGAAAAGTTTAAAAGAAATGGTTTCTTTATTAGCATTTGTAAATTTTGTAGTGTAGTGTAATGTAGTGTAGTGTATAGTATCCCTCTTCTTTGTTCCCCTCTTGGTCTTGTCATTCTTTAACCCATTTTCAAACACACAGGCGCGCGCTCACACACCAGGGGAGGTACTAAAGATTTCCGCAGAGAGAGTGTGGTATGGTGTGGCCGGGAACAAGAAAACAGCACAAAAATGGAGCATTCAAGTAATAAGGTTGATAACAGATAATCATAATAATAATTACTTTTCATGCTGAGAGGATTCATTTTTCTCTCTCTTCCTCTTTGTGCCTTCTTTTTCTAAAGGTGTTTACATCTTTCTGTGGTATTAGCATTTTTAAGAAGAGATTATTAATGTTATTATTATCATCATCCGTCTTCTCCCTGGTCATCTTCTTCTGCGTAACAAGGAAGGGATTTCTATAATATGTAAAGGAAAATGTAAACACATGTTAACCACATGTAGAAAATTGAAACGTAAATGACTGAAATATGAAGACAGAGGTGGGTGAATTAAGTGAACTAACAGTTGAAGAAGTTTGTAGAATGATGATGATAATAATAATAAGAAGATTGTCTTTTTGGTATTTCTATGAATCACCTCTCCTCTACGTTTCTCTCAGTCCCTCTCTCCCTCTCTTTATTTGTATGAGTTAATCATCGTAGAATCTTCTCTATCCTAATTCTTTCTATTCTGATGTTTATTTACATCTATGTTGAAGTATCCAAACGATAAGAGCACCAACTGATAGGCATTCAAAGGGCACATATATATATATATACAGCTAGCCATGCAATATGTTGTCCTGCAAGGTTCATTAAGTTTATTGTCTTCCAAAAAAAGGCAGTGGTTAAAACACTTACTTAAATAAAGGAGGCTTTCACAGAGATTTTTTTCATTTTTCATATATATGACTCACTCACACACACCAGTGGTACAGTTGTTGATAAAAATGAAATTAAATTTTACAATGATTGACATTACTGTGTGTGACTTTGGAGTGATAGTAGGAGTCGTGCACACTAACACACACAGTGAGACAGAGAGGAGTGTATTCTTGATCTTAATTATGTTTGAAACAGCAACAAGCACACAACAAGAAAACAAATTTGCTAAAATGAATAAACAACTTTCTTTTTTTCGTTCATAAAATTGTGCTTAACATCTGTGTCTTGTGAAGAAAACAGAGAGTGTAACTGTGAAGACAGAATTTTTAATTTTATCTTCATTAATATTTGAAGTAAGAGTCAAATAACAATATTTGTCGCCAATAGTCTCAGTAATTTTAATACGACAAGGAAAATATGCGTGATTCTAGTGAAGAAATATGTACTCTTGTTAATCTTGTTAATTTAAGAGCACAATATTCAGCGAAGAGGAGACTCTTTTCAGCGACGAATTTATTATCAACCTGTTCAATCGTATAAATATTTGGTATTTTTAAGAAATAATATCCGGTGAGGGAATTGGATCAAAAGTGTAGACACATGAAATCATTATAGTATGAAATGCAATTATTACGTTTCTGATTATAATCATAGTTGAATGTCAAGTGGCGAAATAATTAATGTCATATATAGGATAATACATAAGGTGTATAAATGTTGGAAAGGGATGCATATTTAAAGGATGAATAGGCGAATTTAAAATATTGCATACCATGGTATGAGATTTGATGAGATAGAGTCCAGTATTGTAAAAACACTTTTGGATTTAGAATGACAAGAAGGACAAGTGGAAACATTTCAGAGTGAAAACAGTAATAATAAGGATTATAATAATCGTAGTAATGAGAGAAAGGTACATAGAATAACCAAATAAACAAAATACACAAATAAATAAATGTCTATCCATCTACAGCTAATGCAGAAGTAGGGATTGTACATACGTCTTTTGTATACAGAGCTCTGACTTAAATTCATGAATTGCTAAGTTAGTGTCGATTCGGTAGATGATCTTAAAATCATGGTCAGGGTTGGCAGAATGACAGGAGTCGATCAGTTGTTCTAAAATACAGCTTCGCACACACATTCTTTCTCCCTTGTAAAACCATGCTGCTGGAATATGTTCTCGTATCTGTGTGGAAAGCGTCTTCTGGCTACGGCCAATGTACCTGGCTCCACAAGAGCAAGTGAACTGTTAGACGCACATGAAGGCGGCCAGACGGGAGAGCTTATCTTTTACAGAGATGAAGAACAACTTGTGGTTAGTGAACTTCATTTGTAATTTTGCTGCAAAGAACGTCTTACTGACTGCTTGAGACAGACGATTTTTGAGCATATCTGAAACTTGATCACATTTGAATTCCAAGTTCATGAATAAGGTTTTCTTTGGAACTGAGTTGGTAACCAGTTGAGACTGCTTATCTTTCGTGTTTATGTCAATAAATCGGTTCAGGTAACTGTTTTCTGAGAGCATGGCTTTTAAGAAGTCAAGTTCTGAGTCAACGCGATCAGAACTACAAATGTTTCTTATACTAAAGCAGAGCGAATGAATTAGGTTCCTTTTCTTGGAGATAGGCACCCAACCATAAAAATTAGTTACTTGTCCATTCCATGTTTGTTTCCGGTGGATGAATCTTTTGAGAGATCCGTCATTGCGTCTACTAAAGTACACACCAAGAAATGGAATACTTAGTTCAGATTCGTTTTCTAATGTGAATGGTAAAGAAGGATGTCAGTTGTTGAAAGCAAACAAGACATCATCAATAATTACGTTATTTTTCGCAGATAACGATAGTATCGTCTACGTATCTTTTATAAATGTCAAAATGATCGATGGTTTGACTAAGTTCAGAGTGTTCAAGCTTTTTCCTAAAACAATCAGCCAACAAAGGACCCAGTGGTGATCAGTCGCAATGCCATCTCCTTGTCTAAAAATCTCATTAGTGAAGGTGAACTGAAATAAAACTAAAACTTGTGCACTGTGGTAGAGTGCAATAAATTGTGCTCGAAACGTCATCAGTAAACATTACTGTATAACACTGTGAGACTTTATCAAAACAAAATTTACCCATAACTGAAGGTGAACTGAACATTCGACGTGAATCTCAATAAAAGTTCTTTGAAGTGGATTCTCGGCAACCCTATTTTTCAACTATATATATATATATATACGATTGTACAGCTTGATAATAAATTCGTTGAAAAGAGTCTCTTCGCTGAATATTGTATTATTAATGCCACAATAGGAATTATTAAAATCTTGTCAATCTCTTGTTTCAATAATTCAGGTTAAGAAGAAGTTACTAGAATTAATTAGTCCGGAAGACCATGATTTTCCACGATTGTTTTGTACTCGTAAAACAGCTTTCAAGATATTCACTATGTGGAGGGTCTAGTGGTATTTCATGCATTGTATCAAACAATTTAACTTCTTCGAATCCTCTAGGAAGCAGTATGTGTGTAGCATTGTTGCTAGCTTTGTAACTTCTTTATCGTCACCTACTTCACCTGGTACACTGAGTATTATCAATACACATTCAAATCAACAAGGTTGTAGTACAAGTTCTGGTCTGTTGCCTAGTTCAACTACCATACCTAGTCAAACCGGTGGCGATGGTTTACCAGCACAAGATGCTTCCTGTGATACATCAAAGATCAATCAATCAGTCAGTCTTTGTCATCATTTGGCGTGAATGATCCTACTCAAACTGGTTTATATCTTCGCCTGAGATCATTATTCCATGATGCTCGAATTGAACAAGAAAAGTTTCACTTTGATGTAAGTAGAATCAATGTTGGTAAGCGCACTGCTTTGCCATATTTATTTTTATCATCCTGCAAACTAATACAGTAAAGTTAAGAGTGTGTATGCTTACTTGCTGCGCCTGTGCGGGTCGCTGGCTCAGCGATAGAATGTTCGCCAACCACGCAGGAGGTTAGGGTTTAGATAGCCGGCCACCTACTCACTCCTTTACCTCGCTAAGCCAGTAATAAGAGTGATAAAGAGGGAAGGTTGTGCTTGAGGCTAGCAACCCCATCCCTTAGGAATAAACACCACTGCTACGGGAACTTCAAAACTCTAGCTTGAAGCCCTATGCCTCGCGTGAAGGCAGAGGAATAAAATAAATAATAAATTATCTTCTTAATCTCTATGTAAATATTTATTCAGAATATTCCTATATAAAGTGATTGAGTTAGTCAGTGTATTTATAGTTACGGTATTATTACATCATTATTATTTTTCACAACGGAAAGCTCAGCGAATCCTTTAAATTGAAGACAGGATTAATGACAAGCTTGCCTAAAATCACTGACGATATTCTTAATTTTGACAGAGGTGGTGATGCGGCAGACTGTGAAAAGGGAAACGTTACGAGTTCTTTTGACCCACAACACGACTGCATAAGATCTACACACTGAAGAAAATTTATGCTTTATGCTTCATAAACTCGAAGACCTACTGGTTAAATTCAACAAGTTGCAAGAAGAAGCAGTGAAGATACGACTTCAGGTGAAACTAGAGAATACAAAGATGATGACGATACTCCAACTGACAACAGCAATAACAATCACCAGTCGTTATCAAGGGAATAAATTTGAACGACGTCACTTCCTCCACTGATCTAGGCAGCAAAGTTTCTTCTATATGGTCTGGAGACTTGGCATACTTAGCCATCTGCAGAGTTTTATCACTGACTGTCTTCCGCTCATATTAAAGATCAGAAGGCCAGAAAGGATTAGCAACGAAAATCTTTGGTTGAAAAACCAACTGGAAATCTATTAGCTAACAAATATGCCAAGGAAAATTCAGGTTGATTGAGTACACACTGAGGGGACCATTGATCGACAGTGCTTGACAGACCCTGCAGTGGAACTTAAATACAAAACGACGAGTTTGCTGCCAGTCTGAGGTTGACATAGAGGATTTCGCGTTAGGAGAAGATGAAAGCTCATGATTAAACGGGGCATCAGCTACCGACGGCTGCAGAGAACAGGACAAATTGTAGGTGTGCTGTTGAAGCAATATGTTCCACTAAGAACTAAAAGCAACCAATGTTGCTTCTTAAAGAAGCTGTAGCCTATTTTTTTTAATTAAATTATTAGCCGCTTGTTTCTTCAAAGAAGTGAAAACAGGAGGAAATTCCTGACTGAAAAGACCGTACAGTTCATGACTTTTGAAATTCCAGTAAGATGAACGCCTATTCTTTGATGAAAAAGATTAGAAATTACAGTCCTCTATAACCATTTTTTCAGAACTCATAGAACAAAGTTGAAGCATGAAATCGAAAAAACAACTTCTTACTGCCGATATGTCGATGACACTTTTGTAGTGTGCAGAAATGAAAGTCATGCTTCCCACTTACTCAGATTATTCAGTGACGCACATAGCAATATGGAGTTTTTACTATGGAACATGAAAGTGATGCAAAGTTTCATTTCCTCGACATTGCAATGCGACGCCTAGAAGACGGTAGTAATCAAAAGTCAGTTTACCAAAAGCTTACATGGAAAGGACAATACTTACATTTGAAAAGTTTTTGTCGAAATAGCTTTAAACGTGGACTAATCAAGACTCTAAAGTATACAGCTAAGAGATTATGCTCTATAGACAAACTAGAGGAAGAATTTGTGCTTCTTGAAACGATGTTCAAAAGCAGGGGTTACCCTCAAAGGTTTATTAACAAGTATGGAAGATGTGAAGTCACAAATGTATCAAACAAATCACAATGGAGAAAAGCTTGTCTTCATTTAACTCGGTTTTAAAGGTGAAAATATTGCAGCGATGGTCAGCAGAAGACTGAGTACATCACTAGGCAGAGCCTATTCTGCAGCTAAGCTGGTTCCCGTCTATCGAACAACCCACTCTTTGGTGCAATCAAAAAATGACAGATATCCTTCTCATGTTAACTCCAACTATATATACAAATTTACGTGTATCTGTGGGAGCAGTTACATTGGAAGAACAGAAAGAAGGGCACACCTCCAATTTTCGCAACATGTACCAAAAGGCCTATGTTTAAAGGGAAAAAATGCTTTCAAAAGTGTCATAGACAGATATCTCCTTGACACGGGTCATGAGGTGGACGTCACAAGATTGTTCAAAATTATCAATATGCAAAAGAGTTGAATTCTGCTCATGTTTGCCAAATCGATCTCGATCAAACGCCTGAAACCCGATTTACGCGTTTAGAAAGAAGAGGTTATCGGTCTTTCCTTCCCCTGCCTGATAACTGGAAATTTTCACCTCTTTTTCATCTGATTAGGTTATGTCGCAATTCCTCATTGTTCATGGTCATTATTGTTCGGAATACTTTTTGATACTATTATTATCATATAAATATATATATATTATTGATTGACTTTTGTTTAAAAATGAACTTTCTGTGCAAATATGTTCAAATTGTTTCTGTAGATATAACAAATAACGACTATGGCCTGTAAGCAACTGATGAGATGCCAACGAAATAAACACTGATGGCACCATTTTACTCTGCAAAACCTATTGTTCTTGCTTTACTCAAAAACTAAGATTATCAATAATATCGAATTCAAAGCCTCTATTACACTGCCGTATAAAGAAAAAACGTCAAAGGACTTACGTAGTATTCTCAATGAGGCTAGAATTAGAGTGGCATTCAAACCAACTAACCAACTCCGGCAGAGATAAACTTCAGCTCACTGACTCGATATATCAAATTAAGAGAAATCATATAGTTTATCAAATACCGTGTAATGACCGTCAGGGAAGTCAGTTACATAGGTCAAACTAGTAGATCATATTCAATTAGATAATTGGAACATAAAACTTCAGCTAGCTAGACCTAGAATAATTGACCTTACTAAGATAAATAATCTGGAAAACAGCTCAGTCAATGTATTGCATCCACTTGCATGTTGTCACACAATAGGTTGGTTGAGACAGGGTGAGAGTATTAAGAAGTAATATAGTTAGGGGGAGAGAGAGGGAGAATTTAATCACTGAAGCTTTGTTCACCGATTCAGCGCCGCACACTTGCAATCGGAATGACACAACACCTGTACCAGGGATTTGGAAGTCGGCAACAAACGACAAAGGGAAGTCGGAAAGACAGGAAGAGAGTAAATATGTATAAGTCTGGCAGTAATTTATGCTTGAAACCTTTCCATCCAGTTGTTAATACTGCATCATCACTGTATGATATTTGACATAAACTTATCTAATATGGAACTAGTAGATGATGGTTTGGCTTTTGAAATGATGGATATATGGTTTGAGTCCCAGGGGAAACACTGTGCTTTCTTGGGAATCGCAAGTACATCAAGTTTCTACTGCCACTCACTGTCAACTAAAATGACCTCATAGGATTCCGCCTCACCACCAACATTTATTGTTTGTTTAATGACAGAAATGAAGACTTTTTATTAGGCTCTTATTGTTTTATCTAAATATAAAGAGGCGTCGCACTTAGAATATTTCATCGCCTGTCAATCAAAATCACGCCTAATCAGTAACTTTTAGGCGTTTCTTTCTGCATGCATAATTAAGTCTATTTAGCTTAATCCGGATTATGTCACTTGAATGCTGTTCACACGCGAGTTGTAATTAGCAATTATTCCTCTCGCGCCTCCACTATGTTTAATATCTCCAGAGTAGAGCCTTCTAATATTGCTTTTCGCTTTCATGTTGACTTAAAAAAATTTTTATTTCTGAGTACACTTGCCAAAATACACGAAAGTTTATTCATTTGTATTACATATCCAAAGTATCAAGTTTGTCAGTATGGTGTCCCAGGTCTTAACAAGCGAATTTTTATGAATATTCTCTTATTCCACAGTTTCACGAAGCACTTGAATAAAGCAAGAACAGCAGTCTTTTGAAGAATAATGTAGCACCATCATTGCTCATTTCGTTGGGTTCTGACCAGCTCAGTAGCTCAAAGCCAAAATAAATTATAATTAAGTTCATATACAGAAAAGTTTCAACATAATCGCAAATTTTACATGGTATCATTTGAAAGTATACAATATGAAAAAAGGCTAACTGCAAATTTAGCAAGTGAAGAAATGAGTAATGTAAACTGTATAAACTGTACAAACAAAATGTGTGCAAAGCAATAAAATCCAAATTTCGTATTTCGCTTTTTCATTTATTGTCCATCTTTGTGCCATACAGACTTCTAAGATTTCTTATCGCTCAAAACCGCATCTCTTGAAGTATCCTCAACTGCTGGATAGGCTTCTGCAAAGCGAGCAACCTTCATTTCTGAATCATAAGAAACAGAATGTTACAAACGCATATGTGATCGTTTAGCCGCGGAGGTTTTATGTTTGTGGTCAGTCCTCTTGTCAATCATTGGGACAGGATTACGTGACAAGAAGGAAGTAGTCGCGGAATGAGCAAGAGATGAATTCTTCGCAAATCTTATTTTGAGAGGAATTGTGGCTAACTCATGAGCGCTGCGAGTGCGGGAGAGAGCGACTGAATTCAACAGATATTCCGGGGTTTCTGGTATACACGGTAATTTGAGTGAAGAAGCGGTTTGTGAACAAATAGTCTACAAATAATTAGTAAATATAGAAACATTTATTATTTCAGTGACACTGTTAAACAAGTCGCTTCACTAACTGTAAACTCGATGGTCAGTATAATTCATAATTTATAAAGGAAATAAAGTGAATTCACTATACCTGATTTTAATTCCTAGGTCTTAAA